TTTCTTCTTGTTTCTTTTGTTGCTCTTGTATTGCTGCCATCAAGTCTGCTAAGCTGTAGTTTGATTTTCCGCCTCTCGTATTTTTTTTTTTCGTTCCACTGCTGACACCAATTTGTTACGCCTCCGTTCGTTAGTTGATTTTCCGTAACTTCGTTCCGACCAAACTTTAGTGGCACAAGTCCTTACTTAATAAAACTGGTTTCTTTCTGAATATAACTTTACTGATACACTTATTTTCAACTGTCGCTCTATAACAAACGTTTTAACAACGAACGTTAACTTCAACAATACTTTCTGACTGCAGTTCAATTGCTCACTACCTACACACTTTCCGTCACATTGTGACCATCTTATATATACACCAGACAAACATATATCTAGTAAATACTAGGGCATTCACGAAGGAACAAGATATTTCTAGAAAATAGGTGGCGTGACACTAGTCACGTGACCTTGCTGACGCAACAATATGATGATTTATAAGTAAAATGAAGTAGCTTATTTTGTGGGGAATATACTAAATATTTCAACTGGTCTGCCTTATTCAGGTCGTACAATAGACTCATGTTCTGTCAAAACATGTGGTATATTACCCCCCCCCAAAAAAAAACACTTCATTATGCTTATAAATCATTGTTTTCCAATTTATTATTATAGGACATAGTTTGATTTGTGTGTGTGTTGTTATTCTCTGTTCTTATGTGCATTCTTCAAATACATAAGAATTATTCAAATGTATAAAAACCCTATAACCTGAGCGCTTTCGAAAACCACTCAAGTTATGGATTTTTTATTCATTTTTGTCAAGACTTCTTGAAACTACGTGTTTTCCTAACATCATAAGAATTATTTAATGCACTGGTACCATCACTACAAAAAACCTAGGCTCAAGTTTCACTGGTGGGCCAAACAAGGGGCCACACACAAGTACTAAATTCACTGTTTTTCAAGTAATTTTTTACTGATTGTTATAAAACTAAATTATGAAAACTTGAAATTTATTAGGTTGCATTAGGTAGGATAATGAAAAATACTAATGATAAAAAATTCTTCCAAGGTATGCTTGTGAGTAGCTCGTGAGTCATGTAATTCAACACTGAGCTATGCATTCATTTACAACTCCACAAGGTATACTTGTAGTAGCTCATGAGTTATGTATAACAATACTGAGCTATGCATTCCTTTACTGAGTGATTAAGAACTCCACAAGGTATGATTGTGAGTAGTTCATGAGTTATGTAATTCAATACTGAACTATGCATTCATTTTCTGAGTGATTCAAACTCCACAAGGTATGATTGTGAGTAGCTCATGAGTTATGTAATTCAATACTGAGCTATGCATTCATTTGCTGAGTGATTTACAACTCCACAAGGTATGCTTGTGAGTAGCTCATGAGTTATGTAATTCAATACTGAGCTATGCATTCCTTTACTCGTATTAACGTAGTAATCTATGATTTTTTAGTCATTCAATGAAAATACATACAATCTAAAAAAACATTTTGTTTGATATCCTCCAAGTGCAAAATTTTTAAAGGCTTAACAACCTACGTTAAGCAGCAGCTGAGTACAAAGGTCATAACTTGAAGAAATAATTGTTTGCTTTACTTCTTTATTTACTGTTCTATATTTAGGAAAAATTAGTTTAAGAACTTATTACAAAATAACAATAAACTATATACATATATAATGTATATTAATTGAAATGTGTCTGTATTTTACAAAATAAAACACAGCCAAGACAAGTTACTTTGTACAGACCAAAGGTCACCTTCATGTTATTTGATATGGTTACATGAGTGCACGTGAGCTGCATCATTGTAACTTCTGTATTGTTAGCCAGGCATGGGTGAAAGGTCAATATAATAAAAATAATAAATATATATACAAATGTATAATGTTACGAGATTTAAGCTATTTCATCTAAACATTTGTTTTTGTGATATAATTTGTGTTCATTCTAGAATGAAAGAGGCATAATTTATGTTTATTTCCTAATTGGTCAAATCTACCGAACCCATACAGAGATTAATTATTGAAAATAACAGATAAAATAAAGTTTTTTTTTAACAAATGTTTGATAACTATCCACACATTAATAAAAAAAAATTGCATGATAAATAGGCAAGATGTGAAAAAAAAGCATGAGAGAAACAATGCTTTACAAACCTTAAGACTTAATAAAAAAAAATTAGATATTTCGCGTATGAAGGTATTGTAATTTTTACCGATAACCTGCCAAATTTCATTAACATTCGCTTACAAATTTAAAAATTATAGCATGAAAACTATAACAATCACAAAATGGTTACGAGGTTGGTTATGGGCTGAAAGTTCAAATTAAGAAATAAAAATTTATATAATATTAAAATTTGATTTATTAGCTACGTTTTGATGTCAAGTTTACTGAAATACATTTATAATAAAATAGTTTAATTAAGTTTTGAATGTAACTCTGTAAAAGGTTGTGACATATGCACTTTGACCTACTTGACATGAAAGATTTAATAAGTTGTTTTGCAAAATTTTATATTTTATATCTTCTTTTCCCTACCCTAACACTAACTATTGAAATCATCAACATACAATGAAATGAAAAGTTAAAAATATGAAAATAAAATGAATAATACTTGTTCTTATTCTTTGAATGTATAATTGTCTTGAGATTTTCACATTACTTATCTTCACAATTTAAACAGAAGCAGTTTATTCCTCCATAAACAATACATCACAGCGAGAACTCACTAGCTGTTTCTCATAAACAGCACATTTATTTTACACTTGCTGGCCTAACAATGACAGATCTCACTTTTTAACACTAAGTTTGTTGTCCAGATAAAAATTCATGTAGCTTTCAAATATGAATTTTAGAGCACAAAAAATATATCAGTCACTAGAATAGAACTAAGCTATAAACAGGTTTAAAAAAATACCAATAGCTCTTCAGAGTAAGATAACAATCCAGATAAAAATTATGCCCAACTGTATTTATATGCACACAAAAATGAAATAACTAACACACTTCATGTAAAGGATAACCTGCTCTTTCTATTACTTATTATGACCACCAGTCAAGTAGAGTTTGTTAGCAATGAATCGCAAAAGATAGAGATGGTGAAGTTTGACAAATTTATTGATATGTACAGTTTGTGTTTCTAATTGGTTGAAGGGTACTATTGAAGTTATAAAATTCTGAAGCAGAGAATACAGAGTTCACACACATCATGTGACAGGAAAAAATCAAGATTGAAAATTTGTCAAATATTCCCCTTTGAAATTAAATTAAAACTTAGATAATAAAAAATCTAATTATAAACTATGTTTTGATGCCAATCTTATTTACATACATTGATAATAATTCAGTTTAAATAAATTTTGAATGCAATGGTGTAAAAACATCACTTTGACCCTCCTGTACCCACTGGGTTAAGACTAGTGTAAACCGATGATGTTCAGCTGTTACAGTACATTTGTAATGTAAACCTGTATTTTATTTCATACAATTGCAATAAGCTGCAACAATTTTGTAACTAATAATCATGCTGTTCATTTTTCACATTGCCTTTTGATTTGTGGTACTATGAAAATGTTATTTAAGCAGCAAAAATATATGTAAATATATATATTGTCATTCTATTGTTTGCAGATAAAGTTTCAACATCATCATGATATATAAAGCATAATCATATTTTTTTAATCTGTCCATATCACATTGCCAAACAAGATTATTGTCAAAATACTTTACATCACAACAGTTTCGAAAACTAGTTAAATTCTGTGTGCCAAGGTGTGTGAAACTTCCATACAAAGAATTTATCATCTTAAATCTCACATTTCCTATAAATACTTCTATGATCTCAGCATGTTCTAAATGTCAACATTAATTAATTTTAGGTTTAAAGATGAGTAGAAATTGGAAATAATTGCTAAAGATCATTAGCTACATTCAAAAGTACTTACCCATTTCATTTTCATCTTCTTCACTATCATTCTCCTGGGTATTACTATTTTGATAAAAATCTATAGATGACTGTGTATTTCCATTGGTTATCATTGGTAAAGTCCTTCCATTCTTTGCATATTCAACAGTTACAGTCTCTCCTTTTCTCACATCTATATCATCACATATGTTTTCTGATGTGTCAATTTCTTTATTACCATTAAGCACGTTTCCATTAGAAAGTGCATTGTTTGTAATATTCTTATCCTCTACTGGAGATCTGCGAGTGTTTTTATGTGAACTACAATCAACATGAACTGTAGGTTTACCACAAATGACTTGTGAAGTAGGGCTAGCTGATGTTGGGGAGTTACTGGAATACTTCAGCACACTGGCGTGAGCAGTTCTTGAGGAATAGCTTGGACTTCTAGCTGGAGAGCTGCCTTGTGATCTAGGACTTCGAGCAGGACGGACTTCACTGTCAGTGCCATTAACCATTTCTATAAACTGTCGACACTTCAAAAGGAAGAGTAGGTTTGGGTTTCTTTCCAGAAGTCCTGGATAAAGCTTGTGAGTGGTTTCTGTGGCTTCACCAATCCTTCCAGCTAGCACAAGTTTAAGTATTCCTGTTTAGTATAAACAAAATAGAATAAAAATTTAAATAAATGGCAAATAAAATAAACCACATACTTTACATAAATCTAAATTATACTAGAAATAGCTTTTACTCTTTATACAGTAACACTTCTCTAGAAATAACAACTTTTACTCTTTATACAGTAACACTTCTCTAGAAATAACAACTTTTACTCTTTATACAGTAACACTTCTCTAGAAATAACAACTTTTACTTTTTATACAGTAACACTTCTCTAAAAATAACAACTTTTACTTTTTATACAGTAATACTTCTCTAAAAATAACAACTTTTACTTTTTATACAGTAATACTTGTCTAAAAATAACAACTTTTACTTTTTATACAGTAATACTTGTCTAAAAATAACAACTTTTACTTTTTATAGAGTAATACTTGTCTAAAAATAACTTACTCTTTATACAGTAATACTTCTCTAAAAATAACTTACTTTTTATACAGTAATACTTCTCTAAAAATAACTTACTCTTTATACAGTAATACTTCTTTAAAAATAACTTACTCTTTATACAGTAATACTTCTTTAAAAATAACTTTTACTTTTATACAGTAATACTTCTCTAAAAATAACTTTTACTCTTTATACAGTAATACTTCTCTAAAAATAACTTTTACTCTTTATACAGTAATACTTCTCTAAAAATAACTTTTACTCTTTAACAGTAACACTTCTCTAAAAATAACAACTTTTACTTTTATACAGTAATACTTCTTTAAAAATAACTTTTACTTTTATACAGTAACACTTCTCTAAAAATAACAACTTTTACTTTTATACAGTAATACTTCTCTAAAAATAACTTTTACTTTTATACAGTAACACTTCTCTAAATATAACAACTTTTACTTTTATACAGTAATACTTCTTTAAAAATAACTTTTACTCTTTATACAGTAATACTTGTCTAAAAATAACAACTTTTACTTTTATACAGTAATACTTGTCTAAAAATAACAACTTTTACTTTTATACAGTAATACTTCTCTAAAAATAACAACTTTTACTTTTATACAGTAATACTTCTCTAAAAATAACAACTTTTACTTTTTATACAGTAATACTTCTCTAAAAATAACAACTTTTACTTTTATACAGTAACACTTCTCTAAAAATAACTTTTACTTTTTTATACAGTAATACTTCTCTAAAAATAACAACTTTTATTTTTTTATACAGTAACACTTCTCTAAAAATAACTTTTACTTTTTTATACAGTAATACTTCTCTGCCTTAACAATTGTGAAAAAATCCCAAATGAAAGGAAAAAAGGAAAATATAATATTACAAGGTGGGTTTTTTTCAAATCTCAGTCAAAGTGTCTAAGACTTTTTGACAAAAATTACTTAATATTTTGAAAGACATCTGAGCATGAAAAATAATTGGGTATGTTCGAAAAATGTTTTTGTATAAAAGTAAGATACAAATTTTGTTTTGACACTTCTTTAGCATTGTACACAGCATCACCTACGATGAAGTGATGCAAGAATGACCCGTTGACTAAAATAGTTGTAACAATACATCTTGAAATCAGTTTGAAGAATAAAGAGCAAAATAAAAAGAGCTCAATCAATTTTACGAGCAGAAACCATGGAATACTCACAGTGAGCATCTCATGTTAGCAACCTACAAAATGAAATTCTGTTTGTTGGATTTCATGCAAAGCTAAGAGAGAATAATTTGTGTTTCCCATCCCTAATTTTGAAGTGATAGAATAGAGGGAAGGCAGATAGTCAACAGCACAAATTGTTGGGCTAGACTTGTCAGTCAACAGCATAAATTGTTGGGCTAGACTTGTCAATCAACAGCATAAATTGTTGGGCTAGACTTGTCAATCAACAGCACACATTGTTGGGCTATACTTGTCAGTCAACAGCACACATTGCTGGGCTACACATGTCGGTCAACCTACTCCTACAAGGTAATGTACAGTTGGTACTGAGTGCGACATGGGGTCTATGATGCTACTCCTACAAGGTAATGTACAGTTGGTACTGAGTATGGCATGGGGTCTGTGATGCTACTCCTACAAGGTAATGTACAGTTGGTACTGAGTGAGTCTGTGATGCTACTCCTACAAGGTAATGTACAGTTGGTACTGAGTGAGTCTGTGATGCTACTCCTACAAGGTAATGTGCAGTTGGTACTGAGTGTTGATCCATCACTGATTCTCTAATAAACTGAAACATTCAAAATACTTCCATATTCTATCATTTTTGACATGCTGATCAGATTCTTAGATTAAGAACCGAAAGGCTGTGTAATGATTTCACTGTGATGATGACAGTTCCATTTGGACCGACCATGGCACAATAGTAAGATTGTAGGACTCGAGGGCTGAGGCTCAGTAGTTCATATCCTGTTACTGCTAAAAATAAATAAATTGTGTTCTGCACTTTGGAATGTGGGTGTGTTATAAGAATGATGATCAAATCCCACTATTTGGTCTTACAAGTCTAGCCCAACAATTTGTGCTGTTGACTGACAAGTCTAGCCCAACAATTTGTGCTGTTGACTGACAAGTCTAGCCCAACAATTTGGGCTGTTGACTGAAAAGTCTAGCCCAACAATTTGTGGTGTTAACTGAAAAGTCTAGCCCAAGAATTTGTGCTATTGACTGAAAAGTCTAGCCCATCAATTTGTGCTCATCACAGACACCTATGCCACACTCAGTACCAACTGTACATTACCTTGTAGGAGTATCATCACAGACACCTATGCCACACTCAGTACCAACTGCACATTACCTTGTAGGAGTATCATCACAGACACCTATGCCACACTCAGTACCAACTGTACATTACCTTGTAAGAGTAGCATCACAGACCCCATGCCATAATCAGTACCAACTGTACATTACCTTGTAGGAGTAGCATCACAGACTCCATGCCATACTCAGTACCAACTGTACATTACCTTGTAGGAGTAGCATCACAGACCCCATGCCATACTCAGTACCATCTGTACATTACCTTGTAGGAGTAGCATCACAGACCCCCATGCCATATTTAAGGTTGATTCGTGTGGGTGTTTTCAACACATTTTTAAAGATCACATAGCTTATATCAACATTTGTATTTAAAGTTCAGTATTTAACATAGCATACAGTTCAATCTCATACTTATTTTACCATAAAAAAAAATTACCTTAAACTTCATTTTTCTTACTCAGAAAAATTGCAAGTTGGATTATTGATAAATTATGACTATTTACAATTTTTAAAAGTGTGTGTGTGTGTGTGTGTGTGCATGTCTATTTTGATACCAAAACCACATTGGGCTATCTGCTGTGTCTACCACATGGAATCGAACTTCATCACAGCTCTTGAAAGAAAAATTTTACCAGCCACAAATTCAAAGTTTACTAGCTTTAATGTTAACTATATACTGATCACAGTCTGGTTGGAATATATGTTTTTTTTAACAGCAGAATATAAATTATACTTTTACTTTTCCCTAAACCACAAGAAATGGCTTTCCACTCCCTTCATAAAGCATTCGCACTTTATAACCTGAAAACTGGGACCCGACCACACCTAAGTTAGTGGTTGTTTTCTTCATCACAACAGCCAGAAACTGATATAAAGTACAAAAACTGACTATAAAAAATAAATCAGTTTTAGAGTTTTAAACCATACAACTTTTGTGCTCCTCAGGTCACATTTTGTAGAGAAACCTTTATTTGAAAATTTGTGTCAAGATAATCATTAGTCTTCTACCTTTTGTAAAGTAATTTATACATAGAAAACGTTTTCAGTGCTAAACTAGTTAATATAGTGGGAGAGATGTCAGGTCATGTTTATTCTAGTCTCAGTTGCATGTACAAGTTTAGAAAGGCTAAAGTTGTGGATGCAGTCATGATGGAGTTCCTGTTAAGGATAAAGTGATCAAAAAGAGAATGTTTGAATCCAATCGAAATAGAACAAGAAAACTATGCTTATCTTAGTTCATTCAGTGGTTGACAGACTTAAGGTATGATTGATCAACCAACAAAAGTCAGAGAAGTTTTTTTTTCTATTACGTGTGTAGTATCCTAGATATTATGAACTTATTGAGACCAATCCTTACAGCTAAATTCTAGGTCAAAATGGGATGACTCTGAGAAAAAGTAGCCTTGCCTTGGTAAGACATTTTATCAACATTTTGTGAGCATCATCGGTCTAGTAATCTAGTGGATTGTTCAAAGCTGACATCAAAACAGTTTTGTTGGAAATTGTCTGTAGCTAGTTGCTGATTATAAAGGTATAACATATGGGATATTTGGTTAAAGATATAACATCCTTTAACCAAATATCCCATATGTTATACCTTTAACCAAATATCCCATTATAACATATGGGATATTTGGTTAAAGATATAACATTCTTTAACCAAATATCCCATATGTTATATCTTTAACCAAATATCCCATATGTTATATCTTTAACCAAATATCCCATTATAACATATGGGATATTTGGTTAAAGGTATTACATATGGGATATTTGGTTAAAGGTATAACATATGGGATATTTGGTTAAAGGTATAACAAAAGAAACAGAGCAAGAACTTCTCTCTTACTTTGTCTGTTTTTTATAGATTTTATCTCCTCCACAAAAGCCTGGTTTGTACTTTTGGCAAAAGCTTCTGCTGAAGAACAATACCCATGGTGCACCAGGTAGGTCTGTACAAATCTTCATAAAGCCAATTATAAAAAAAAAAAGGAAATACACAATATTTATATGAATTATACAATATCTCTGATTGCAATCAACAAAAATTATAAATATATTTCTATTTTCATGTAATGAAGACATATCTTATCAAGTTTAGCTATTTTTAGGACATATTCTTATAAATTGGTTATATCATTAGTTAATATGTTTATAATTATAACCACCTGAATCAGAAAACGACTTGTACGTACAAGGACAAAACTGCACCATTGAATTAAGAAATTATAAAAAATTAACTTACACATGTTCTTTGACAGATTTAAAAAAACATAATAAACAAGTTTTATTTATCTAATTTCATTTTGGTTTGATTTCAGTATGCTCTGAACAAAAAAATTAGTGAATTTTCTGAAGTTTTTCTAGCCCCTAAGATAAAACTCATAACAGTTCTAAAGAAAATAATGCTAATTTGACTTTGTATGTTAAATAGTGTAGTTTTATTGAGTTTTAGCCCATCACTGTTTCTCAACCTCAATTGTCATGTTATGATTAATGTAACTCCCTATATTTCAGTTTTCAAGTGAGCCATAGGCTGGTGATTTAAACACATGATAAAAGCTCCTTTTCACTGTAAAAGCCAATACAGTTTCAGTTAATTGGAAATTTGTGTAGAGATTAAAAGAAAGTGATAAAACTTAGCTTGATGACATGTTGCTATAAGAAAAGATGTTTGTGAACAGCGTCCATCATGATTGCAGCCCTGAGTTTTTTCTAAAGCCATCCTTTATCATTTTATAACTCATTTCAATTATGAAGTTGCAGTAAGATAAGAAATGTTTTTATGGAACAAGATGAAGTAGGCTTAATTAAATCATTTTTCAAACAGCCATATCAAGTTTTGTTTTGCTGACAAGGTCATTGTATTAGGCCACATTTACATTGGTTTTATAAGCCAAAGTAGCTGCTAGAATGAAAGAAAATCACTGGAATAGAATGTAACATATGTATATGAAATGAAACTTTCTATTCAAAAATATGTTAAAAAGTTGGTAAACAAGTTATTTCTATTGTATTTCAGTAACTTTAAACATAGTTAAAACTGCACATTGTGTTTTTCAAATTAAAACAAAAGTAAAATTTACAAATTATGAAATAAAAACTTCATAAGAAAGTTTAGAAGAAAGTAAAAAGACATAAAACTCATATTTAAAACCTACAACAAAGGACTTTAATGTTTCTTAAAAACAACATAATAAAATCCATTTGAATTTTCAAAGCTGCAAAGTTATACAAATATCATATATAAAACTAATGTATTTTATTTCAAGAAGTTACATAGTCTGTACAAAGTTCTTCTGAAGTATCAAACTATTTTCTTCAAACGTTTTTCTTTGAAATGCACTAAAACAAACCTTAAAACAAGTGCATCGAATCAACACACCTGGGCATTCAAGTTAGTATTATCCTACAGATATTACACGAAGACTTCACGAACACTCTCTTTCTCTCTCATATAAATGTACACACACAAACACATTATAAGCTCAAGTGTTAAATCTCTAGTCCTGATATTATTCAGAGAAACAATGTGATCTGCATCAATTCTTAATTAAAAATGAACAACACATCATTAAAGAAACTATTCTCCATTATCCTGCTATAATAAAAACTGTCAGTCAAGTGTACACTATGTACATGCACAGCTGTTCTTTAACCCTATAAACATGGCATGAGTTCACTGCTGTCAAGCTATATGTAGTAATGTTTACTGCTGGTGATTTAATCGATTAACTATGAACAATGGTTACATCAAAATTCCAATTAAATCTATTGTCATAAAAATAATCAACTAATCATAATTAATGTTTTTAATTATTGCTATTTTTAATTATTCAAACTGTCCAAGTTATCAAAATATTGCTACTGTGTTTGTTTGTTGTTAACCCTCTGGATTCAGATGGGCCAAAATGCATGTGATTACCTTTTTTATATTTACATTTCAATTTAATTAAATAACTTTATTATCAATATATTTTAATAGACTTGGCATCAATATGCAGTTTGTAATTCAGATGTTAATATTATATAAGGTTTAATGGTTAAATTTTAAAAGGAAATGTTTAAAAAAATTCACAATCTTCACTTCTCTGTGTCACATGACACTTCTTTGCTCCAAATTGCTCATTTTATATTTTCTTATTACCTCTACATTATATTCTGAGTATAGTAGCAATATTACCCTTATAACATGCTAAGCTATAATGTAAACTTATAGCCTCTGAACTTCTTGTTTTATCAAGATATAAACAAGAAAGTGAAGTCCATATGCCACACCACTCCTAACTTTCAAAAAATGTCAGTAATACTCTTTGACATTTGCTATTGGTTATTTATAACCAATAAATAGAGAAGATTCTGATTTTAAAAATTCATTATGATGCTAATTCTTTCAGGTGTCAGGTTTAGAAATATTTAGTGTCAGTTTCCTTGTTTGCTCTTGTGATGTTTGGCTCAACCAGCTTAGTTAGAAAAACCAGTTGAATTATAGTAGTTTCAGGATATTCTATTTTTTGTGCATAATAATATTTTGTGTTCTAAGTTGCATATTTCAATTAAAATTGAAAATACTTTGGACCACCAAAAAAATAATGCTGACAATAACAAAATAAGAGTCCAAACATAAATACTAAACTTCTTTAGCAATCGACGTGTTCGAAGGAAAACAAAGTTTGATTATAAACAAGATT